AACAAACACTCTTTAACTTGTTTGAAGAAAAACAAAAATGACTGTGAATGAAAAAACTGTAAAGAAATATCTGTTTTCAAATCAGAATGCTGCAGTCTTTTTAGATTTGCACTCATTTAGATTTTGCCTTGAAAAATAAATAAACAGTTCGAATTTGCATAATCATTTATTTTCTGAATGTAGATAAAAAAACTTAAGACCTCTTGGTATTATATTTTTTACAATTGTACAAAATTTTTGCTTCTGAATTGCAGGAAAAAAATGAAAGAATTAAAGAAAACAAAACAAAAACAGTTTAGATAAGATTTGAATTTAATCTTTGCAATTTAATTGATGGTTAATATTTAAATAAGAGAATTGAACTTCATATGTTCCAAGATTTAAATTTCAAAATAACCATGAAAAATATATTTGTAAACATTTATGAGTATGAAGCAAACCTTGTTTTTTATTTAACACATATATATATATATATATATATATATATATATAATAAAAATAATCTTTTATCATACTATATTTAGGATTAAAAGTGCCCAATAAAAGGGATAGATAAAAAACAGAAATAATAAAATGGGACAAAAACATAAAAAGTTAAATTATTGTGTTGGTTTTTTTCAGTTTTTGATTTTTAAATAATGTCTGGGAAACAATTATAGAAATTTTTCCTTCAGGCAAAAAAAAAAAAAGATTAAGAAAAAGAAAACTATACATATTTTTCTCTCTCTCTTTTTAATCATAAGATCTATTTTTCTTTTTTTCATAATATAATCTTTTAAAAACATCAAACATTTCTCCTGTTTCTTTTTTGAGTTGCTATTTGTAGTAATTTTACCCTTTTTTTTTTTTCACAAATGTTCAACTTTTTTTTTTATTGAATTTGTCTGTTTTTATGGGGTTAATAAAAACTTTTGAACCTTTATTAAATTTCCTAATAAAAACCCATATATCTGAAATCAAAAAAGCAATTTCTAAAAAGCAATAATTAATGGATTTAGTTTTGAAGAATTAAACACACACAATTTTTCAACACAATGCAGTTTTAACACAAAGACAGTAATTTATTATATAAAATCAATTTATTATAAAACTAATTTGTGTGTGTGTTTAAATCCAGGATCATCTTATGTTGGATCAAATTTTCCTACATTTTTAGCCGATTTCAACAAAACTTCACAGGACTACATAAAATTACCTTGTGGTGGTTCTAACGGACCGAAAATGGGAAAAAATACAGTTGTTTTTTAATAAAATCAATTTGAAAACACGATTAAGACACATCGTGAGAATGAAAGGGGACAACTCACCCACGAAAATGTAAACAAAAGAGCATAGCATGATGAAAAAAGACGCCGAACTTGACGAAAACAAAATTTTATCGTCTAATGTTCATATTATTATTAAAGAGGAAAGATCAAAGTATTTTTTGGGGTATTTTTTTTTACATTTTTAATCGTTCCTAGCACGTCTGAAATTTTCGTTAAAAATATTGTTTTTTTTTTTCAAAAAAAAAACAGATAATCAATTTTTCAATCATTTTTTTCGATTTGATAAAAAAGATTAAAATCTTATTTGATATTCTTTTAAAAATCAATTATCATTTTTTCAAAACTGATTTTAATAAAAACAGATATTATACTGTTTATTTAAAATATTTTGAACCAAGCTTAACTTAGCTTCTGCGCGAAAAAATGTAATTTGAAAATAAAACAAAGCAGGTCATAACCTTTTTCAACGCTTGACGATTGACGAAAGGCACATTCATGACGTTTAGATAACTTACGGGAGGAGAATTCTTTCTACGGATGGAAGGAAGTGAAATTATTTAAGTGAACAAATTATTTACCTTGTTACTTTTAAGGAAAACTTTCAGCGCTCTAATTTTTTTTTTTTTTTTTTTTTTTTTTTGTACTTAGCTTTCATTTTTACGTTTACGATGCTTTATGGAAAATATAAAGAAATTAAAAAATAAGACTGTTAATAGTGAGATTAAATTTCATAAGAAAAAGGTATCTAATTAATTTAGGTACCTTTCTTATGAAATTTTATCAGAAGTGTACATAAAATACTATAATTTTATGTACATTTATTACATTTTACTGTGTTATTTGTATTTCCATTCATTTTATTATTAATTTTGATATTTCATTTATGGAAAAATGTCATAACTGAGATTAATATAAAAATAAGATCATATAAATTAAAGTTTAGCAGTAGTTAAATTTCATAAGATGATACTGTTACTTGTAGGTACCCTTCTCAGTTGAAATTGAAAACTCAAATTAACTTCTCCATACGTGTTTTGCAAAAAGTAAAGGGCTTAACAGCGGAGAACAATGCTGAACTCAAATAATGCAACTAAATTGTATTCTGGTTGGTCTTCCGTACTTGATAATTACTGTCCGACTATAAACACAAAAATTACATTTCTTAATTACCACCATGCTATAATCTGATTGGTCCAAATTATACAATTTTCAAAGCGCTAGACAATGACAATCTCACACGGACATTTTGAAAGGTTGATGTTGCTTTTAACTAATGTTAAAATATTTTTTAAATTCAATTTAAACATTTTTTAAAAATCTTTTTAAAATTAAAGAAATAAGAAATAATTGTATTAAAAATTCAATTTTCATTGAAAAAATTTTTTTGCTTTCAGAAAATATTGTCCATATTCATAAAAACAAATTAAAACAAATAAAAGCATTTGAAACTAAATAATATATTTGTTTTATTGAGTTTTGTATGTTACAATTCACAGCTGATTTTCAGGTACGTTGGCCAAAAAAAAAAAAAAAAAAAAAACATGATTTGCATTCTTCAAAGCCTTGTGCTTTTAACTATTGTAATCACTAAAACCGATGGTCTCAATTTCTAGAGTTTTTCATAAAATTAGTTATGGGGTGTTAATAAATATAAAAAAAAAAAAAATATTTCTGCCATGACTTTAATAAAAAAAAAAATATTTATAATAATTTCGATCATCTGTGAATAGTTTCTGAAAGTTTCATTAACATCTGACAATTATTTTTATTTTTGCAAGATTTTCCAAATTAATGTGTGTAAATACAAAAAAAACGCGCTAAAAATTATCTATGTTATTTACTACCCCTTGTTGCGACAAAGAGAAACAAGGTTTTTTAAATCAAAATTTAGAATATTCTAAAAAGATGGAAAAATTTTTTAAAAATAATTAAAAAAAATTTAGTCTATCCTCTTCATAAAAAAATAAGCATTTTGACGATAAAATTTTGTTTTCATAAACTTTGGCGTCTTTTTCATCAGACTATGCTCTATGTTTTAGCGATTCCGTGGAGTGACTTAGGTTAAAAAACCCAGGTTGTTTATGTGTGTGTGTGTGTGTGTGTTCCTTTATATATGGGATCGGATTTCTTACATTTTTCAGCCGATAAAACAAACATCCACTTTTTTTTTGGCAGGTAGTATTTCTTATTGTCTTGCACACTTTTTTTTTTTTTTTACATTCAGAATGCTTTAAAAATTCCATTTACAAGACAATTGTTTATAATAAAATTCTATTCACCAATCGATAGACTCATAACGATTGTAAACAATGTTTTTGTTTGAATTTGGGTTTGACCAATTCGTAAAAAAAAAAAAAAAAAAAAACTAATTAAGACATGCATGTCCGTCAACCTTAAACAATAATCTTTGTCAATTTAATTTTTCAGTCTTTATGATGGTCGATACTTGATCTATCTCTTACTGTTACATCCCCGGGCAACGCCAGGCTCTACTGCTAGTATATATATATATATATATATATATATATATATATATATATTAACAACAAACATAGGACAAAATTTTTTAATATAATGTAATTTTAATGCAAAAATATAATAATGGAATTAATATAATAAATATAAGAAGAACTAATCCTTTTTACTATTATTGGCTTTCCACAACTTAGTTACATGTGGATACCTAGATAGTTATGCAGTTGTCTATTTTATTTTTCTTATATTTACAAACACAAACACTATATAGGTCAAAAAAAATTTAAAAATCAAATAAAAAATAAAATAATAATTAGTAAGTTTTTTATAAAATTTGGTTTAATATATACTAAACTAGAATATAAAATTATTATTATTAATTACTGTTATATATAAATTCAATTTTTAGTGTGGGAGTTATATAAAATTTTAAATTCAAATGGAAGGACCAATAGTGCCATTAAAATTTTTAAGGTAGATTAGACAATATTTAAATATTTTAAGGAAACTTTATATAGTATTTCTATAATTTCATTATTATTATTTTTATTGGATATATCTATAAACCGGATATAAGAGAGTTGTTGGGAACGGAGAAAATATATCTTATATCCGGGTTTGTAAAATTTATATACATTAACACAGGCTAATAATTTGGGACCAGAGAAAAAATCTTATATTAAATTTTTATATCCGGGCTGTATTAAAATCTAAAAAAAATTCAAATAAAGGAAATATAGGTTTTTTATAAAGTATGTGTTGCAATTTATTGAATATCTCATGATCACATTTTGCAACCAGGGAAGGCCTCTTTAAATATATCCTTTAAGAAATAGCAACATATTCATGAATGTCTTTAAGATGAATCACCACTTGAATGAAAAGCAAATTCACCTAAATCCTTACATCACTGTTTTATTCAGGAAATTGCCTGGCAAGTAATCTCAAGTTGACTAACAAAATTATAATAATAAATTTGTTGAATCATTCATATGTTAGATTAAAAATTTAAAACTGAAATAGATGATGCAAGTCCTTTTTATGTTTTTGATTTGTATGGTTCAAATAAATAAAATATAGGTGTAATAATAAATTCATAATATTTTATTTTAATATAAAACAAATTAAATATAGGAGATGAAAATTTGTAAATTTTGTTAATTTTAAAATTAAATCAGCAGTAAAAAAAAATGATCTTTTTGATGAACAAAATTTCTTGAAAGAGAATTGAAACGTTTTTCTAAACTTAAAAATGAGAAGGAACTACAAGAAGAAGAATATAAGAAGCAGCAGGTCTACTTGCAGGAATTGGTAAGAATTAGAAAAAAAAACAATATGTTTTATCTTGCCTGTCAATGGCTTTAGGTAAAAATGATTCAAATTATAAGGAAATCAAAATCTGGTTCTGGATTTTGCCAACGTTTTTTTTTTTTCTTTTTTTCAGAAGAGTGAAGGAAATGAACAAAATTAAAATCCTAAACCTTCACCACAAGAAGGAATTTATTTTTTTTTATTAGCAGTAAAATTATTTTAATCAAAAGATTTATTTTTATTAATCTTGAAATTTATAAATTTATGTAAGAATAATGCTTTTTAAATTTAATCTGTTAATTTAATTAATTTATTGAGTATTTAAAAAAAAAAAAAATGATTTGGCAAGAGTTAAAATTTCTATGAAGGAATATATTATTAATGGAAAAATTTGTTAAACTTGGATTTTTTTTTTAAACATTAGCTCTGAGATTTATTTAGTGTATTAAAGAAACTCTTATAATACTGTTGTGTTTTTCCTTTTTACATCTACAGCATTAAAAAAATATATATATATATATATATATATATATATATATATATATATATATATATATATATATATTGAAAATAAAAAATAATTATTACAAAAGGAATGTATTCATTCCTAAAATACATACATACATAAATATATATATATATATATATATATACATTTTGAACATATATATATGGATATTCATACATATATATATATATATATATATATATATATATGTGTTGAAAATTGCAACCAAATATTGAAAACAATGTACAATAAATTTATTTTCAACATAATTTCTTTCCCAGAAAATGCACTTGTTTAATGAATATTGATATAAAAATAAGAAAGTCAATTTTAAAATTCAGTTTCTAACTTCATTAACATTCCCCTTACCCTTATTGATTTTTTTAAGCCTCATATTTCATTTGAAACAATTTTTTATTTTTCAAAAAATTCAAACCAATTTATTTTTCTTTTTTCAGTTTTTGATTGCTTTTATTTAATTCCATTATACCTGAGGAACGTTTTTTAAGGTAATAATAAAAATTTTATAATGTTTTTTAAAAAAATGATTATTCTAATACTCATTATCATTTTGAGAGTTCTAAATTATTATTCAAGAGGTTTCCTTGTTCCTGTTATTAACAACAAAAATAACACAAACATTGAGTTCAGCACTCCGTACAGTGTTGGATATTGTTTAAAATCTTGAAAGATTTGAGTACATGGGAAATTTATTTTGGCTTGATAGAATAAATTTTAAGGGACATGATACTACTTTTATATTATAACTTTTATAATGGAACAATGGGTTAACTTGTTTTTTTTTTTACATAAGTTTATCATTGAATACACTTTGAAGGTTATATATTTTTGAAACAAGAATTTAAAAAAAAATTTGAATATCTAACTAAAAATATCTGCTTCTTACTAGAATCTGATATTTATGGAAATGTAAATCACCTCACCTGTGTTTGATACCTGTCTTATTTGTGTATGTATAATTTTAATTAACCTGAATACCATGATTTTTTCATATGCTTTTTTTTCTTTAAATTTTAGGTGATGCTTTGATTCCACTTAATGTTGTACTATATATTTATTTTTTGTTATTAAAGAGCAGTGATTTAATGAATCCTTTTTTTTGTTTTGGTTTTGTCAGTAACCATTAAATTTTTTTTTTTGCCATTAACATTGCTTGTTTTGGTGCTTACAAACTAAAATTTCATGCTCTACTGAAACTTGTAAAGTTCTTTTTCTAAATCAGTTACTTTTGCATGTTTTGACTGTCTCATATTTTGAACCTTATCACAATATTAAATCTCATTTATTTGACTCAACATGTTTTTCCTTTGTTTAATTTTCATATTCTGCATGCCAATTCTCTTATTCTACATTCTATAGTTTTTTTTCTTGAAGATGCTTTCTTATTTTGAAAATGTTTTTCATGCAAATTTTTTAATTCCATAATATACTTTATTTATCATTTTGGTCTTGCCACCTATGTTCTTCAAAAATTTAAATGCAAAGTCAATCACCATTTGTCTTCCTGAAACTTGTTCTTTTATTGTCCTTTCTCATCACTAAAGTCTTTTCATTCTCTTTCACTCTCAGTAACCCCTTGCATCTTAACAGCATTATCGCTTTGCTTGGGGTGAAATAAGTAAAAGAAAGCCATGAATATCTGAAAACTATTTCCCTCTTTTAAATTTTTATACAAAATGAAAAATAAATTTCTAATTTATTTATTTGAAATATATTACATTTATATAAGTTGATAGATCATAAACAGTGACTAATATATATAATTTATATAATGTATAAATGATAAATGTTCCAAAAGTTTTGAGCTTAACATTCTTAATGACAAAACAACATGAAAAGAACTTCTTTTGTTCTATTGACAAATATGTTAATCTTTCAATAAAGGTTGTATTTCATCTACAAGGGATTCTTCTTCTTTGAAGAAACATGGAAGTCCAATGTTTCACCAGCCCTCATAGTAGATATTTTGCATGTTATCATAGATGATATTTATTCTGTAACATACAGAATTGTGGCACAAGGTCGGGGAAAATGATTTTCTAAGCATAGCTTAGATGTGGCACAAGGCTGAGAGTATGGGGCACCCATTGAGGATCGGACCCACTACTCAGTTGTAATTATTCTAGAAAAACAAGCTTGCTAACCATTATACCACACCGAGGTGCCCTAAATGTTATCATAAATTTCCTGCTATTACAATCTGTTCAAGGTGAAAGATTCAATAATAGTGCAAACAAAAAAGTGTTAAAAAAACCCCCCAAAAAACAAGAAAAACCAAAACCTAGATGATAATCTAGTTTTAGATGGTTCTATATAGTTGGACATATAGTCATTATTGGTGAGAGAAAGAGTACTGATCTGTTATATAATATCAATCCTTCTATATGACGGTGAATGCTGGCTGATCTCTTCACAGATGAAGATGAGACTAGAAGCAATACAAATGTGTTTCTACAGAAGGATGCTGAGAATATTACAGATTGAATATGTGAGCAGCAACAAAGTTTTAGAGAAAATGGAAACAAAAAGGACACTTATACTTGAGACAGTTGAAATTTGTAGGACATATAATGAGGAAAGAGGGCTTGGAGAATTTGGTATTCACAGGATAGATTGAAGACAAGAGGAATGGAGGAAAACGAAACATAACCTACCTAACAAGCTTGATTAAATAGATGATAGAACACAGGTTAGAAAATATAACAAATAGACAAAATTTATTAAAAGCTACAAAGGACAGAAAATTGTGATGAGCCATGATCACCAACATCCTGAAGGGACATGGCACATAGAAGAATCAAATAAAAACAAAAATATGGAATCACTGTAAAAGAAATCATATTTCGGCTCCAAAACTTTTGGAACTCTCCTCATAAATTTATATAATTTATATATTAGATATATAATTATATAAACTAATGTTATTGGTTCATATAATTTTATATCTAATTTTAAAAATATTATTTCATAATATAGTTAGCCATATCTAACATAATTGATTTTCCCTAATTTAGATTTTTACATGGACAAAAACCATTTATAATTTGTTTATTTAAAACATATTACATTATAAAATGAAATAATTGAGGCTACTTTTCAAGGCTGTATCATCAATATTTTATTTCAAAGATATCATTATTAAGTGACATCCATCAGTCTTGAGATCATGGAATTTTGGTTTACCTGGTGACATGGTGCTGCATCTATTGTAGTTGTACAGATCTGCAAGGAAGAGATGGTCTTGGCTGCAGTGACTACACTTGAAAACAACTCTGTCTCTTTAGGGTACAGGGTTTTAAGAGAAATTGGTAGTTGCCTATACAGTATGTCTCCCCTCTGCATGTTGTCCATGGAAAGAGCATGGGCTGATTTTGCTTGCTACTGGTGTTATCATAAGAGTTGCCAGAATAAGGTTGGGTGTAATGTTGAACTGCTTTAGGGAATCTGGCTCCAGATTTATTCTCAAGGTTTACTTCTGAAGCCTTTCTCCTGAATGAGTACGACTGATTGGTTTTCCTTCTGTTAGATGGGTAGCTGTCTCAGGCTGATGAGTTCCATCTACCTGAAGTCTTATGGCCATATCACGTTGGAACACTGGTTCTTATCCAGTCACCAATGTCGAAACTGGTCAGATGGGTGATTCCTTGGGAATACCAGGTGCTATAAGTGTGGATAGTGCAATGGATAACAGCTCAGTATTGGAAATTAGAGAGCCGAGTTCCAATTCCAGTTGTGTTTGTTATATCCACTTACATGCAAATACCTTTGGGAAAGGTATGAATCCACCTCTTCTACCCCCAGCTATGGGTTAATTAGTAGGATTTGTATTATTATTGCCAAAAAAAAATATTACAATCTAAAAATATTTTAAGGTTTTAAATAACCTGCAAAAGGTTGATAAGCTGTAAAAAATCAATCAATCAATCCATCCATCTATTTAAAACTTATATTTAAATTGAACCTATTTTGATCAATATATATTTAGTTGTTTGCTTTATTGTATTTCATTTTATTTTTGTTCTCTTAACATTAGACACCTTATGATTGTGATTAATAGAAAGATTTCTTATTCATCTCAAAACATGAACAAATGATTCATTTCATATCAGTGGTTAGATTATTTGGGTTATCCATTCTCATTTTTCCTTATTCTCTCCTCATATTTGCCTTTCAACAAATGCCATCTTTCCCTTGCTATTTATTTTCAGTTAGAAAAAACACAGACTCAATTAAGAAACTCAGAGCAGCAGTATAATTTGCTGCAAGAGAAATACCAAGAGGTGAGTCGAAGTTGTTAATATTTTGTCACTGTCCTTTATGTTGTTAGCTTTCTTCATCACTGATCAGTATTAGTCAAGTGTTTTCTCGACATAGCTTGATACTCAGATTTTTTATAGTGAAGTATATCAAAAGCATTCTTATTTTTCAAGAGCTGCTGAATATTTTTAAAACCTATATAATGATCTTCATATTATATATTTTGATAGTTGTAGTTTTTAAAGTTTTCAAGTGTTCATAGTTGGGTTCTCTGTTTTGTCTTTGAAAGCATAATGATCAAAAAATGATGGCCTTTAATTCAAGAGACAAGTAAACCAGTTTTGGACAGTTGGGTCAGATATTTTATTTCCTTCCCCTGTCCAAATTCTGCAGGCAGCTTCAGTAAGTATGAGGCCCCAAAATAATACTTGTATCTACCTTTATAATATCTGAAACAAAATCTATGGTTAAAAAGTATTGATAAAGTTAAGTAGTATCGACAAAAACTATAGTTAAAAAGTATTAATAAAAATATTGTTATATAGTATTGATAAAGGGTATAGTTAAATAGTATTGACAAAATGTATAGTTGAACACTATTGATAAAAGATATTGTTAAATAGTATTGATATAATAGTAAAATTAATAATATACTGAATGTGTGAATTTTAGGCAAATGGTCTGTAAATAAAAAATAGAGATACATGATATTTTGATACATGTTTACAGCCTTTCGAAATCTATAATTTTCAATCAAATTAGCATACTCATCCTGGGTATGATGATAAACTACATCCGCTTCCAGGGTAAGACGATAAACTATGTACCAACAGCAAGGCCTCTGATCAGGAGGCTTTGAGGAGCGTGGAACCACCTCTTAATTGCTGATGTTCCCAGGTCCACCTTGACCTGGGGTGTTAGCGCCTGTTAGGGTCTCAGCTATGGGCAAGTAGTTAACCCCGAAACTGAAGTAAAAAGCATTATGAAAGTGTAAAAATAGGTTTTCATACCATAAATACTTTGTAAAAAATTATTACCAGAAATAAACTTTTGAAGAAAAAAAAACAATTACCAGCAATACATTTTTGAAAAAAAAAATATTACCATCTATACAATTTTGAGATAAAAAATATTACCAGAAATAGATTTTTGACAAAACAAAAATATTACCAGGAAAAAAAAGTTGTTGGCATTAAATGACCCATTGAGGTTGATATGTCAGAAGACAAAAACCAAACCAAAATCAAATTAGCATACATTGTATTAAAATGTTAATTTATCATTTAAAAATATTTTTATAGAATTGTTGTTGTCAGCCATCATCTCAAATCAGAAGTATACTACTAACATGTATATAATGACTGACTGCTTGTATTCAAGTATGTCTATCTACTAGAGCAGTTAGTCAATCCCTGTTGCAGATATCTGCTTAGGCACATTTGTTTTTGTTCAACACTCACAGAACCCATAAACTGCCACTAAATTAAGCATACATTAATTACAGTTTCTCGGAGAGAGCACCTTATCTGGAATGATCAACAGACCAATAACGTGTGACTTTATGCTAGTATAACCATCAGCAGCTCACAAATAGTTCTGTCTACCACTCAATTTCACTCACAAGGCTTGGGTCAATCCATGTTATGATTTTCAGGTGCTTTCTGAAGGTGCTACATGCTGGGATCACCTTAGGCTGATAACATAAAGAAGTTACCTTCCTGACAGATCAACCATAGTGAGATTCAAACTCGGGTCTCATGGTCAAAAAGCGAACATACTAACCACTAAAAAGAATATTATTTCTAGATATGAGTATTCCATGGATATTCAAGTCCAACACATTCATCCATCCAGTCCTGTCCATAAGTGCTTTATATATCAACTATATAATATATTAGCATATTATCAACTATTGCTTAGGAATATGAACCATGTTGATAAATATTAATAAATAATATTGATATCCACAAAATATGATTGAGAAAAACAGTAATTTTCTTCTTACTTTACAATAGATAAATCTTTAATAAAAATATTACAAAAGAAATGACTCAGTGGTTATCTGTGCATGAGTTGAGAGTCAATAATATAGGCATGTTATCTAAACTGTTAGCTGTTTCTGATATAAATACATACATACATACATACATATATGTGTGTGTGTGTGTGTGTGTGTGTATGTATGTGTGTGTATATATATATATATATATATACACACACACACACAAGATCAACACTTTGTTCTGAAGATCACATTGAAGTATCAAAGTAACAGTCACGATGTAGTATTGATTCTTCTGTACACATTGTCTATCTCTATAAACCTTTTATCTCTGATATTGAGCACTTTTCCTCTATAAATATTGGCAGAAGTACTTTATCTTACCTGTATTGATAAATATCTGAAATGAATACATATACACATTTAGAAATTCTGATTCTAGCTTCTATAAGATAACAAAATTATTCTTGGGTTTACAGATTTTTTTCCCTTTTGAAAATAAATTATTTCTTCTAAAATTTCTTATTTAGGGAACTTGAGCAAAGAAAGCACTGCCAAAACTTGGTTGAAATTAATTTATACATTTATTATATATATATATATATATATATATATATATATATATTTTAAAAAATTTATATATTTTTATTGGATGATTGAATCAAACAAATATTCATATATATATATATATATATATATATATATATATATATATATATATATATACATAAAAATTTTATTCCCTAAATCTAAGTTCTTGTGTCAAAATAAAAAACCTAACTAGTAGAAATAAATCTTCATAATAGGTGTAAAATTACAAAAGATTCAAGCACTGCGTAAAAGGAAAACTCATTTATTACACGATTACAAAAAAGCACAAATACAAAGTTTACACAAAGATTTCTTTTTTTGTGCACCTATTAAGGCAGGATAACAATTTCTGATAAAAAAAGATTACCATTGAAAAATGAACAAAAATTACAGTTTGGGAAAAGACAAAGATTTTGAAAAAGACAAAAAACGGAAACAATTTAAAAAGGCAGTAGTAAAACAAAGGTGAAACTACCTTTGAGAAAAAATGAAAACACCTACTTTTACTTGCTTCATGAACCTTTCTGGGACATTTAGTAATTTTGAAAAGTCCTTTTAAAATCACACTGTTCGTGCTTGGGAAAATTTCTTAGAATTCAATTCCATTCTTTATTGTCTGACTAGGAGAATTTTCACTTGAATTTCAAAATTCTTTAGTCTCTCTGCAGCTGGGTGGTAACTGGGGCCTTCTTGATTCTAAAAGCCTTCTAGCTCCTTAATATTGATTTGTCTTGTCCCCTTGCTGTCAAAACATTTTCTTCTCCCTTGTCTACTGACTCGAGTTCTATTCAGAAATTTAGGCTCACAGAAGACGCCATCCAAGTTTTCAGAAGTTCATGAGACCATGACTTTCATTGGCCACAAAATATGAAAAAACAATTTTCGATAAAGTTGAAATGGATCCTTCACAAATTTTGGCAGGTTTTAACCGCTGAGCTGCAAACGATATACAAGTGTAACAATTTTTACACAAACTGTCGTTCATAAATATACAATTCTATCAAAATAATGTGTATTAAAAAAAAACCTAGATGATTAAATATTTATTCAATATTAACATTTTTAAAACTGTAAGAATAAAATTTTTTTATGTTATCATTTGTCTTGGAAAAGCAACAGTTCTAATGGATATAATCAAAAATTGTTTTGTAGAATGAACAAAGCATTCATGTCTTTCACAAAACATAAAAGATTTTTTTTCTACATGTGTTATATTACAGAAGTGGTCTGACAGTTATATTACTAAATAGATCATGGTAAACAACTAGCCCAAAACTGTCAGATCTCTTCAGTAATATAACACATGTGGTGGGGGGAATCCCCAGAAAAGAAAGTCTCACTTCATTTTTTTAACTCTCATCTCATTGAGAAAGAATGCTGGCCTTTCAAAAATTTAACCTTAAAATCTTTCTTTTTGGATCATGCTTCCAAATTGTTGGTCAAAAGGCCTACTAATATACAATAAATATTATTAATCTTATCAGTATTATTATGTTTGTTTTTTATCTCTCAAAATTTCTTTCAGTTTAGCCTATTATATATATATATATATATATATATATATATATATATATATATATATATATATATATATATATATATAAATATTTTTATGTTTAACATTCTTTTTATAGATACAAGAAATATTTAAAAAAAATGCTCTGTTTATAATAAACAGTATTAAATAACATTTACCGGCCTGAATGTCCGAGAAATTTTCATAGAAAATATTTGTCCTTTGACAGGATTCGAACCTGCATCCTATATGGAACCATCATTTAGCTTGACGTGCCTAACCTTTCGGACACTTAAATACTTGTATCTATAAAAAGAATGTTAAACATAAAAATGTCTTTAATAAATTGTCGGACTTTGTCCATTTCTTAATATATATATAATATATATATATATATATATATAATAGCTGGCCATTTGTTTTTGAGGATACCTGTCTACTAGGATGACTAGCTGATCCCTAATTCAGATGCTTGCTCAGGCACATTTTTATTTGTTCAACACCCACAGTCCACCTGTGGTTTATACTGCAACTATGCTGAGCAGAGCTTAAGTTTCTGGGAGAGAGTGTGTTATCTAGTGTGATCAGCAAACTGAACAAGGCCAGCACACTCAAACCCTTTGTCACGATGACTTGTAACTTTGTGCTAGCACAGCTAATGATGGTTCTCCAAGTGTTCAGTCTATCCAATTTCACTTGCAATTCTTGGGTAAACCTGTGGTATGGTTTTCAGGCACTTCCCAAAGGTGCTGCACACTGGGATTGTCCCCTTCCAGACCATTATATATATATTTATTTATTGTTGCTATTAACATCATTTTAGTGGGTACAAGTATTTCAGTTGCTATTCCTGTCTTTTATTTTCTTAAACAGGTAAATTAATAGCAAACAGTTTAGATTGAGAAGTCATACTAAATAAATATATATTTAGAAGAATATATATAATTTTTTATATATCAGGGATACTTAATAATAAAAGTAATGAAAACAAAAGCATAAATACACTAAATGAAATTGTCTAGACTATATACCCAGACCAAGGTTATAACTATATACCCAGACCAAGGTTATAACTATATACCCAGACCAAGGTTATAACTATATTCTTACAATTTATAGACACATAAAAAAAATGAGATTTAAAAATTTTGACATTCCAACATTTTCAGCCTTTCTTACATATGTATTATTACAACCAATATTTGTGTTTTTATATTCCCCCTCCTCTTTCTACACATAGAATTACATCAACAAGAACATTACTTCAGTTCGGTGAAGTCCTAAAGGACAAGATGATCGCACAAAAAATGTTTTTCCACTTTGTCATTAATTTTCCTAATATATATATTGATTCTTATAGATAATATATCTCTTGTCATTTCTCACCATCTTCACTTTTATTAATGCTTTTTGTTGGCACCATTGTCATGTATTGATTCCTTTTAGGTAAATTCAGTTTATGAAGAAAAATTGAAGGTAAGTTGGGTAATAGGTTTTCATTGTTATTTTTTAGTCTTTTTTTTTTTTTCTTTCCTGCCTTTTGCATAACTAATGCATTTTGTGATCCAAAGTCTTCCTAACTTCTTTGACTAATGCTTGACCTTATCTTTTGGATTTCTTAACTAACATAATCAGCATCAGCTTTGCCATTCATCTTAAAACTACATTTTCAACAAACCAATTAGTGGACCTTTTAAAACAATCTATATAATAAATGTGAATATCAGTGTGTGACTGTGTCACACTTTTTCAACTTTATTCCTAGAGGCCATAGCCCAACATATATCATTTTGGAATTAGGCCAACTCTGTGAGCAAATTAAAAACATTCTGGGTTGGATCTGGACTCGCAATCCTGAAATTTTGGATTCCCAAGTTTTTGTTACTATGATTGTTTTCAGCAATTTAAAAAAAAAAAAATTTATTCATTTATTTTTTTCTTTATGTGATATTTTGTGACAAATTTTTTTGTATGATAATAATTTTTATAACTTAGAAATAAATTTGGGATTAATCAAAATTAATTGCAAAATCCAGTGAAAGTCACCCATGAAATAAAAACGATTGTTTGTACAGAAAATAAGGACCCACATACATCAAATTGTTTTTAAATTAAGTGACAGCAGAAAAATTATCATTGAACTTTTAAAAGGTAATCTTAAATATTAATGCAATACTAAAATGCAGCAATCAATTTTGAGTTCTTCTGTAGTTTATTGTTGCCTATTGCATCTACTCCCCCTTACCTATTGTGATGAAGGCCCAATCAAGAGCCCTCTGCAGGAGCTAGCTTAAATGCTGCTCAATAGGGTGGCTTTTAAGCTGTTCTCTTTGTCATTTATTAATGAGACTATGCAGAAATAGTTTGCAATAGAACCATGCAAGAGAGAAGTAAATTAATCATTTTCTCAAAGGCATCAGTATTAGATATGTTAGTTACTACAATCAGAAATTTAACTTCATTCTCTGATTCCATTTTTAAAATTGTCACAAACTAAGCCTATTTGGCACTTCCCAGAGGGACTGGCATGTAATACTCCTGAATGGAGAGTGGGGAAGCCTGAATGGGAGCCCAGGGCAGTGTATATGACCCTATACATTACAAATTAAACTATGTACAACTGATTATGAAAGGAAGGAAAAAATTTTTGTGGATTTTGACATCAATCTAGGGACTGTTTTTTTTTTTTTTTTTTTTCCAAATTTTTTTTTCATACTAAGTCTTAAAAAAAAAACAAAAAAAACCACTACATAAAATTCACTATTTTTTATATTTTTGCATTTTGCTTTTTTTTTTTTTTTCAATATTTTACTCTTTTAACTTTTGTAATTTTGAAATTTGGGAGAATTTACACAACCCTAATGACCTTTTTACAAACTTGGCTAAATCTAAATAACCATTTTATGGCACTGCATATTTCTGAAGCAAAACACTGGATACCGGTAAATGGTCTCTTCTCCCTCTGCTTTGAAATTGCTTTACTTCTAACCGCATTTGTGATTATGAGCTTGAAGATTTTAAACATTTTGATTTTCATTCATTATTTTTGCATTAAAAAGTGCATTCACTTCACTGTAAATAAGGTTGTCAAGGAAGGGAATTTTAGATGGTTTACTAGTTGATTGTATGTGCATTGTAGGGCATGTTTTGCTTTTAACAAATTCATTCTTTATTAAGATAGGCAAAATAATCACTTCAACAGCTAAAAAATGTATTGAGTGAAATGTTAATAACAGCACTGATACAAGCACAAGGCAAAAAAATTCATTCTGCTCTGCTATTTAATCCTTATTTGTGTGTGTTTGAGGGGGGGGGAGAGAGAGAAAGAGCCTTCTCAAAGGTGTAAAAGTGAATGTAAAAAACAATTTTGAAACACCAATAACATTTTTGTTCTTATATATAAATACTTGTTACAAAATAAAATCTTTGCATTTGCTTTGATAAAGTCCCACAGAGGATGAAATGTGTTAGCTAAGATAAGTTTTCCTTTTTATTTTTTTCAATAGTATATATATTTATAATGTTCAAATAAGTAAATCTCCTCATTGTATAGTTGTTGATATCTTTTTTTTTTTTTTTTTTTTGTTATGGATTACACTTTTCAGAGCTGAAGACTACATTGTCTGAAATGTTATGTTAAAAACAATATCCACCTATATTTCTGAGAGGATGTATTGGAATCATTTACACTATTTACATTGTTTGAACTGTTGTTCTCATCTTTGTTGCCATGTTCACAACATTTTGGTTGTTGTATGTGCTGGCCTTCTTCAGGTGATTGCAATTTCGATCTGAACTCTTTATTTCATTCATCAGGTTTGATTGTTCTAGTTCCACATGCCATGCCGCTTCCGTATGTTTCAGTTATCTCCAAGTTTTTGTTCACCACTGCAGTAGCCAATGGAGAAAGAAAATGACAACAAACTTGTATTCCTGAATGTATTAATATCTCAAGCCGATCATGGGTTCAAGACATCCATATACAGCAAACCAAAATTCATTGGACAATATCTCACTACCTATACAATATAAAGAAAGGGATCATCCACTGCTTAGAAACAAGTTTGAGCAAAAAGTTATAAGTGGTGACCCAGAGACATATGAACAAGAAATGGTCAGTATTTTTGTACCCTTAATGTAACAACTTGCTCTGGGTATGGCAATTTTTTGTTTAATCATGATAGAAGGTTACAAGATGATAAGACACTTAGGGTAAAGCAGACTGAAGCTGTTTTTGTTATAGTAAGATTATCAGAAAAAAATACGAAGGACAACCTTGAATATGGGCTATTTTGCAAGACACCTCTTAAAAAAAACTCCCATAGAAGAGAACATGACTAAGGACTGTGTATACAAGAAATCCCAAAGCTGTGGTAAAAATTGCCATTTCAGATGTTATAAGAACATTGTAAAGCTGCAAAAAAGGAATAAAGAGAAAAAATCAGGTGTAATTATATCACTAAACCACATATAGAAGGAAAAAGATCAAAAAAAACTGAGGTTGAAATAAAGACCGGCATCACTGGAAAATACAAAAACTTAAAATCAGCACAAAAGCTGATGGCCACAAAAAATCTCCTAAGCAAACAATGTGAAATGAATACAATATTGGAACCAATGGGCTGTGAGTGCTATTTAAAAGCAATAAAGCAACAAAAGCAGCTCTTGTAAAAAATGACAGATATGGCTTATAAAGTAAAAAAAAATTTATGATGACATTAACAAATGGCCCAGGATAAAAAGCGTTGCAAGGATTACTTAAAAATTTTATAAATGAACAAAACTTGGAGGTTAACTTGCTCTAGCCCCACCCATAAGAGGTGTTGCATTGGAACAAGGAAAATACTTGGACCCAAGGGTTCAGTTCAAATTCCAATCACCTGAATAAGTGGAGTTAATACCTGGCTATGTATCTAGAATAGATGAACAAAAAACAATGAGAATTTTCTTTTCAGGTTATCGGATTTAACTGAGTTCATTGTTTTATCAAAACTTTCCAATTGAGCTTTCTCCGCCTACGTAACCAAGAAATAATCAAACAAGGATGATGAATATATTCAAAACATAATCTTTTAAAGAACTGAAAAAAGGCTCTTTGGTAATTCTGAAAATGAATTTAAAGAAAAAAGCCTGACTGAATAGGAACACTATGATTGGTACTAGATAAGCAGCAATATATTTTACAGTTTAAATTGCTAGACGTAACTGTAAGTTCTATTCTAATAGTTCCTTCTCTTGCACTTCTTACCTGTGGAAGTCTCTTCCAACTTTTTGTTTTTCTCTCAAATATGATCTTCAAAAAATTTAAATGCAATGTCAGTCGTTGTTATCTGTCTCCTTCAATCTTGTTCTTTTAATGTCCTCTCTCTCTCTCTCTCCTCAATAACGTTTTTCTCACTTTCTTTCACTCTCAGTAACTCCATGCATCTTAGTGGTTTTATCACTTTGCTTGAGATGAAATGACACAAAAAGAAACAATGTTTCTTAAGTTATAAAAAAATTTCATCTATTTAAATAATCTCTAATGGGAAGTACAAAAGCTGAGTTAGCGCAGACATTAATAAGTTTTTTACACCTGCTATC